AAAAAAAAAAAAAAAAAAAAAAAAAAAAAAAAACAGAGAGGAAAGATAAGTAAGCGACACTTCATTCAATGGTAAAAAAAGACGAACAATGCATGCCGGTACATCATCATGAGGAACCCAGAGGTAGTTCACAACACCAGCATCATCCGTAGACTCACTACCATTCAAAATGGCTATATCGGAAGGCAAGTAGACTGTAACATTTCTAGCTCGAGCAACTGGTGGGTCATTTTTACCTTGAAAAAGAAGAAATCAAATGCTTATATAAATGAAAGAAACTCAAGAGAGAGATAAAATTAAACTTATTACTAACATAATATAAAATGTTTTAATTCAAAATCATTCCCTACTCTTCTACTCCACCTTTTTATCTACCTATAAAGCCGGATACCGAGTACCCTTACCAATAGACACAATCTCTATCTAACAACCTCAATAGTCAAGTTCGCTGCCTCAACTAGCTAATAAAAAAGTAGAAACTCCCCCTTATGATTGGAGGTTCTTATCTACCAAACCCTACTAAGCGAATAAAAAGCTCCAAAAAATTTTTTTCAAGGTTAAGTTGAATAATGTTTCCACAAATCGAAAAACCATATTAAGAAAACGTGCTTATGAAACCAGGAACATTTCCCAGTGAACAACTATTAGTGAAAAAAGATGTCTCTTATATTCGGAATGCCAGTCAAATAATCTATATGTGAATACTATAAATAAACTGTACTCCTTGTAACATTGACGAAAGTTTCGGACACAGCGCTAAGCCCTCCATCATCAGTAACATTTAACTGAAATTTATACAGTCCTTCTTGAAGTCCTTTAACCGTACATTTAACTTTATCGCGATTAATGAGCTCGACCGCTGACGGTCCACTGAATAAAATACAAAAGTGCCACGTAAAAAGAAGTGTTAAAAGTAAAGTTCAAGAGCAAAAAATAAAAAACGAAAAATTGTTTCAGAAAATTATCGTAGCCAGAAAGTAGATGTTGTTATAAAATTTCAAAAAAAAAAAGGCATAGAAATTGAAATTTACCTCAGCTGACTCCACTCGTAACTAATTACTTGACCGTCGTCTTTGACACTCCCAGTTAGAACTACTGATTCAAGAGGAAGGGTCACTGTTTGATTATGCCCAGCATATGGAACTTAATATAGATGCTTTTCACAAAACGAAGTATGCAGAGGAATAAATAGAAGTCGTAAACGTAAATTTGCAAGACATACTGAGGAAAATAAAATGCTACTTTATAAAATTACTACTAAAAATGCTAGTTTGGCTGTATATGATACATAAGGTGCTGCACTTGGAAATCTGCTTGACTGAGAATGACACATGAATCTTGTGCAAGAAAAAAACTTGTGTCGAAAAATATAAATATTTGTTGATTTAAAACCCTATTTCCAAAAATAATCAAAACTAAAAAGCATCAACCTGGCTAAAGATTATTTAGCAGAAAAGAATTATGGCAAAACCTTCCCTATCATAAAGAATACGAAAATATACACCAAATTACCAGGAACATGATTTATAGCTTTATTCACCATAATAGCCACTTTAGCAGAATCATTCTGATTACTTGTATCGAATACAGTAAGTAAGAACACGTATGGCCCAACGTTTTCGTTAGGTTGCAAATTAGTCAAAGATAGTTCTGGCGTTGTCGAACCTAAGAAAAAAAGAGGGATTTGTCTTCACCACTTGCAGTAACGAAAAACGCACAGAGCTCCAAAAAAGCTAAAATCTCATCCACAGAGAAAAAGACATAAACCTTGAAAGTCGACGGCAAGCTGAGATGTCAAGTTATCGATTCTGAACCACTTGTAGGAAACAATACCCTTAAATTTAATTTTTATCAGATACAATTACTCAATCTGTTAAACTCCTTCAGGTATTTTAGAAATCAAATTTATCAATGTGGTTCTGGAACACTGCTGGAAGACTAACATAATCGTCCGTAGAACTGTTAGCACAAAGAGTGAGGGATTTCAAAGGCAGTCGAACGTCAATAGTTGTCCGCGCTTTCTGATCACTGCATTCAGTAATTTGTGCTTTCGGCGGATCATCTCGTTCTTAAAAATCTTATTATCTCTCCATTTCATTTTACTTTATAAAAAAACTTTAACTAAAAGTAATCACGATAATAAAATATTACACCTTCCAATCATAAGTTTAAAAACCCTAAAATGACCACCAAATTTCCTTTTCAAAAGAGTATAAATAAATCTCTGTAATCACCAAAAATTAGTTTAGGTACGCAAAAGACAGCCGTTGCATAACACAGCAGCATTATTCGTCTTTAAAATATTTGCAAAATGAAGCATAGAAAACAGAGAGAAAGTAAAAAGCCTCACTTGCAGCAACGATAACGTTTATCGTATCCGAAGCGCTTACTCCTCTATCATTCTTCACAGTAAGACTAAAATTAAATAAATGAAAAAAAAATTAATTTCTGAAATTTCCTGTGCCAAGTTGTAAGCGGATGTTAGTGGTAATAAATTAAACAAAAATAAGGCTAGAAAACTAAAAAATTTCTGAATACCCAAATGTATAATTTCCCCTAATCAAATTATCAAGGCGAAGCACTGGACTATCTTTTGCTGAAAGTTCAATTGCAGGCCCATTGACCAACTTCCATTCAAATTCGAGGTGCCCACCGTCCTCATCGACACTGCCTGAAAAATAAATGCGCAATTAAGATATTTGCCTTTCAACATCGTCAGAACTTCTGGCCAATTTCTTAAAACTGTACACATTCTATTTCATAAACCAGGCAATTGTAAAACCAAACGTTCACCTTGACCATCAAGCATAACCAAATTTCCTTCAGTAGCGTGAACGGGATTTGAAGGATTAATATGCACCTTAGGTGGTCGATTAAGTCGTTTTGGAGGTAAAATTGTTAGAGATATATCTCGAAAAGAACTTTTTTCGTTCTCCTTAACAGTTGCCCTCCACTTTGCTTTACCCTCTTTCAACTGCAAAATCAACTATTACCGTTGAAAGCAATGACACTCTAATGTAAAAATTTTTATATAGCAAAGCAACGATACAAAAGCAAGTAATAGAATAACTATTAAAAAAATAAGTTCTCCAAAATACCAAACATTTTTTCTGCTAATACTGTTTAAAATTTACGTGCACTAGAGTAAGCACAGGCTGCGTGTAAGTTGTTTCTGCCAACCCTGTTTCACCGCCTTCCAAAACTTCCCAGTAATAAGTTATGTTGGAAGAACCTGTAAAAAATAATGAGTATACGAATAAACTACAAAGAACAAGCGGGAAGACGTTACCATGAGGACTTTTAAAAACTATCTTCAATTCTAAGCGTTCTTGAGGAAGCTGAACAGTCGTCGGCCCAGATATTTCAAATGGTATTTCATCGAAATGAGGTTCCTCTACCAGTGAGTTTGTTGAATTAAGAAACAATAAATTCTCGCATTTACAACAAAGTACCGCAACGGCAATTAGAAGTGATACCAAAGTGTTCATCGCTGAAACGTCAACAAGTTTTTGCAAACGCTCTCCTCATCTCCCTAAAAAAAGCAAAAATTAAAGCACTGCAGTTTCGATCAATAACTATGAAGCTTTTACGATAGCTGTAGAACGCTATGAAATCTTCGCCTAATCCTCTAACCTCACTGACGCAGCTTCCACTCACCTCAACAACAAAATAAATTGCAGTAATCAAATTGATTCCTTACTGAAATCCCATCTGAATTAAAAAAGTAAAATATATATTGGTACATAATCCAAATGATTACTGATCAGAATTGACGTCATCTCTTTACTCTGTTCACAAATGAGCCAAGTTCTCGAAAAACTTTTAAAAACACAAAATTAACGACAAACACTCGAAAAAATAAACAAAACTTAACCATACATCCGCAATAACTGCGAAATGCAGAAAACAGTGATGAGTGGTATCAAAAAAGTTCATAAACTACGTAGAATTTTGTAATTTTTTTAAGTAACAAAGTTTTCAGCGAAAAAAATATCGAGACAGACGCAACGTTATAACGATAATTGTAGTCCTGACCGCAACAATACAGAAAAATACTAGGAACAACAACAGTACCGATGAATGTACCGAAGATGACAATGCAAGTTATGCGGAAAACCCACAACAAATCTTAAAATAATTTTAACCCAACACAGCAAATCATGAACAACCACGTCACCAAAAATCAAACATAACCCTATATAACTTCTAATTTAAAAAAAACTCGCTGAATAGAGTAATCACTTCTTCGGGGCTCATTATTGAGAGAGTTACTGAGCGTCAACCTCTGCTTCAACCTCATGTCGAAATTACTAAAAATGTCTAGCGCCTGAACCTAAAATAATAAACCCAAGTTAACAAGAATTACAAACAAAGCACACAAATTTTGCCGTCCTGCAGACTTACCAGGTCAGCTAGCAATTCCGATGCATTTATTAAAGACTTCCTGCTTTTCTCATTCCAAATCAACCGCTGTGCGTGGCTGTCCAGAATAGCACTCAAAATATTAATAACCTTAAAATTCTTAACATTGAAGTGGAAAAAAACTACTAGTTAAGGTAAAAATAATATAGCAGTTTCTTCTAAATATGCTAACACAGGAACCTTGTTAAAGTACTCTGGGGTACAATTTCCTTTTATACTTGCCACTAATTCGTCAATCAGGACCAATACTTCGTCGTCCGAAAGGTGTTCAGATATACAATAAGGCAAAACAGATTTGGTAAACGACTTTCCGATGAGATGATTTAGCAACTTCTTACCATCTAGCTCTATTCTGAAACCGCTTCATCATTTTAAAATAACAATGTTGAGAGGAGGTCGGTTGTAAATTGGTACTAATTTCAAAAACCTGCAAAAGGTTACTTCTAATAAATCATCTTCAAAAAACTCAAGTCAAAAGATTTAGAGTAAAAGCGTATTTCCACACTAGCAAAAGCTAAAATTCAGTCGTCTAGCAGACCTCTCCGCCACAATTTTCAAACATCTGGCATACGTCTGTTCACTGATGACCCTCCGGCACTGCAAAAGACTGATCATCGGACAAAAATTCTGCTCGTCATAACAAAACTGCACCACTTCAGAGTCTAAGCTGAAGAAAAGCATTCAAACTTCCTTTTCAAAAAAATTTCTAAGACCTAAAGACTGGAAACTTACTCTAAAGAAGTAAAAACATTCCTCAACAGGAGGAAACATAGGACCTTGAAACATTTTTCCTTTCTAACCCGTCCAGTGATAAATCGGAAAAACGTCCTTTGTTCCGAAGGAGATAGTAATAATCCAAATGGCGCAATATCATTTTCTTCCTCCTCACAAAGCTGCACTAATTCTTTCCAAGTTTCCTCAACATTCTGGAACATCAAAAAATTGCAGAATCCCTCTCCGGTTTAGAATGGTATCAAAATAGCAAATAAGTAACAAATAACCGCGCTACAAAAACGTAAATGAAGATCATGATAATAACTGTGGGAAAACTTCCTCTATATCTAGGTGTAAATAAAAATACGTTTACGTGATGAAACTCCCCAAGAGACAGGCAAACAGAAAAAAATTAATGGGAGAGGTTTTTTAAGCCGATCAAAAAAACCTTCCTTCACCGTAATATAGTTACGTTTAGGTGTCCCCGTTTATCTCATTTATGTCACTATACTTGTTCTTTCATGCTATAGAGGTTATGCCTTCCAAGTCTCCGCTACATAACTCTAAAACCCAAATACCTTGCTACTTGTTGACTCATCTATCAAACCGTTGTTACGGTTTACAGTAGTTTCCTCCACCTCAGTTCGTTAGATTAAAAACTTTACTAACATCACTGCCGAATCTCTGAATGGTTGTTTGCAACATTCAACATTTTTGAGGCTTGCTATGACAGAAAAGTACGAAAAATTTTCTCAATTTCGTTCACTAGTTGACAAAGAAGTAATGCCGCTGCGAAAAAACTGTTCAACAGCAGCTCAGTTTTCCACCCCCAAAAATATGCAATCTTCAGGAGCTGATAAGAATGCACGCACAAAAGAGCATAGAATTCCAACCATAATTCTACAAAATAAAACGCCATGCTGCACTACAATAAGCAAAGAAAACCACTCATCTTCCAAACAAATTTTGGACCAATAAAAAAACCTGAACTTTTCAGGATAAAATTCTGCAAAGAAGCAAAAAAAAGAGCAAACAAAAAAGCCTGTTTTTCTAGAGTGATATCTGATCTAGCAGTAAAAAGCTCACAAAATTTCTTCAAGAAGAATTTTCATCAAGGTCTAAGCAATATCAAAAAGAAACATCTTAGAGAATCCTTACTCATGAAGTAACAAACTAGAAGCAGCATCACTAAAAATTTTCTCTCTTCTAAGAAAAGAAATCTTATGCGTACACCAACTCCTATAATTATGTGACAAACAATTTTACAGATAAACACATTCATCCCAGTTGCACGAATATGCCATGCCGCAAACAAAAAGAAAAGACGAAAAGAAAAAAAATCGACGTTTTGATAACAGTTTGCTTCGGCGTTTCCTTAGAAAATGAAATTCAACAGAGCCATTATAGCTACAAATTACTGCTGCGAAATTCATCGCCGTCAGTTTCTTACCAACTTTTAGATAACAGCGC